TACCCCCAACACACCCATGTAAGCTTTTTGGAATAGAGACTGCCTTTTCATTCTGTATTTGTACGGTACCTAGTACACTAGGGTCCTGGTCAATGAATGGGGTGCTACTACAATTCAAAGAAAGAAAGAAAGAATTAATAATAACCTCTGATACATCCACACTCATATACAAAACCATTTTATCCTCTCTTCTTAGAGTGTCCTAGATAATGTTTTATGTTTATATAACACTTTACATACCAAAGAATTCCAAATAGAGTCACAGACTACACATACTACGCCGCTGAAATTCAGCTATCTCTGGGGGCGGAGAGTGCCAGCCAACTGGCACACAGTTTATCACACAGCAATGTAGGGGAAGGAACTTGCTATTATGAAAAGAACATCTGTTTCTACATAAAATGCACTTTTTCAGAATAGAATATTTTAGATTTATTTTTAATTGTAATATACCTATTACCATACATTAAGAGTAAGCAATTCAATTCCATTTAATAATATGTTATTGGCCTAAGAACCAATACAAGTGTTGCCAAAGCCTAAGGAAGAGACAAATTCCTCAGGTAGCTGTCAGAGGAAGGTATACTTTGCCCAGGATAAGGCTTCACAGTGTATGTGTGCTATATTTTCCTGTCTCCATTTGTCATTTCTGTCCATTCTCAATCAAGAGACAGGCTGCTACGTACCATGATGCCATCTCTGCTGTCTCTCTCCATTCTCCTAGGTTTAGACAGTTTTCTCTCATTGCTTTTACATAAAAACCTTTAATCATTTTTAGTGTTTTGAAGAAATATCTTTTTTGCACCCTATTGTATTTTGGAGAGTAGAATGTCCCTCTATCTCAGTCTCCTCTCCATCAGACTGGTTGCGCTGCGTCTCTCTGGGTTTGAAGTCTATTTGAAGCTCAGCTGTAATGGTATTAACATTTTAAGATGTAGTATAGAGAGCATAAGCATTTTTACTACTTTCAGCTGATTCAGAAGATCAGAACAGTGACCAATAAAACAACTCTCTCAACTCTCTCAAATAGCAGTTTTCCAGGGAATGTTTGCTTATTATCTTCCCTTGTCTTCAACAGCATTTTCTGTTTGCTCTCCATGCCTTGCTGCTGTGGGTTTAGGCAGGGACACTCACTATATTATATACATTGTATATTTTCTAATTCCCTTCAGGCAATAATTCTTATAACAACTGGTAGAAGGAGTTCACTATCAGATCTTTTATAAAAACAATACTAGGTCTTCCAGTCTAACTGCAGTCCCTGATGAGTTTGGTCCATTATGTGTAATGGCATGTCTACCTTAAAAGATTATGGTAATATCATGGGAGGGTTGAACTGGCAAGTTTATGAGCTCATTTAAAATTGCTAGCAAAGCCATAGTCAGATCCTGATTTATGGGCCTGATCCTACAAACACTTACACACATGATTTGACTGCAGTGGGATGACTCAGGTATGGGGGCCTTATTCTGCTGCTCTTATTCCTTGAATAATACCACTAGTTTTAATGAGCCTACCTTCAGCATAAGGTACTACTCAGTGTAAGCAAGGGCGTCAGAAGTGAGCTTGGTGAGGGTTGAGGATACTCAGCATCTTTTAGAATTGGGCCCAAAGTGAAGAAAGCTTCTTCTGTGATTCTTGCAGCATGCAGCTGAGAGTAAAGGCCACATTTTGTTGATCGGGAGTTGCAGCTATCTTCTGCCTACTACCTCATCATTAAGTGACCCTCTTTCTAAAAAGAGAGACTTTCAACAAATAATGTTTAAAAATTGTGGTTTTAAAATTTAAATTTTGAAAATGAAGACTCAACATAGTTGAAAATAGTTATTTTTCCATGCATGCTTCTTGTCCTCTGTGGTACTTTGAAATAAATCTGTCATTTAAAATGGCTAAAAAAATAAAACAGAAGTGCAGTGTAATACAGTAGCTGCCAAATAAGCACTCCGTGGTGGCCAGAGGTGTCTCCGCAGTGCCCTGCATCTGTTTTCCTCTTCTTCAGGGCTCCTGAAACCAACTCCACACTGTCTTTGTAATCCGATCACATCCCATTTTGGGGTCTGATTTTTATTAACAAAAAGTTCCAGAAAAGCAAACATAAAACCAAAATCTTCCACCCATCCTTAAACTGGCTCCATCCAGCCTTAAGATGAGCACAACCCCTCCTCCCTGAGGTGCTGTCCCTTCCTACTGTTTGAGCCTCTGCAGAGAACACAGGGCCTGGGTGCCTTCTTTGCCTTTTCCCAAAGGAAAAACAAAACTTACAGCTGGATCTTCTTACCTAGCCCCAACTCCCACCTTTAGGAACCACTAGAGGAGACCCTCTCTCCCTACAACTTCAATGCAATCCTTCCCCCTTCGAGCTCTGTTCTCACAGAGCCATCGTTAGACTCTTTATAGCACAGGTGTTGTCCCACCCCCTTAATTGGCTCAACTAGGAGCATCTCCTCTGGCACAGGGACAATGAACTGCTTTAATCACAGGGGCTAGCCACCCTGTGACATATGGTTAGACAATTTAAGTGCAGTTTTTGAAAAGCAGAGCCTTTCCCCCCCTCCCATCTGATGGACTATGGAACCTTTTTCTGAGTGTATTCTGCCATCTGCTGGGTATGAGGTGACTGTCTCCTTCTGTTTTTTTCACTATTCACTGTCTGAGTTTTTTAAATTAATGTTGAACTAGAACAAGACATAAACTTATGATCAGATTTTGTACATTTCACATTACTAACATGGGCCCCAGTCTTGCCATTCATTGGTCGCTATAATGAGAGAATTTTGCTTTGAGTGTTCTTGCAACTTCTTAATAGAGGCTTACAGAAAAGCCTCAGAAGGGGGTTGAAAATGCCGTAAAACTCACTTCTCCCAATTGATACAATTAAAGTGGTGATAAGTATTAGGACACTTTGGTTTGCATAAAACAATAATTAGTTTTAAGATTAAGGCTCTAATTAAGTAGAAATTGATAATTTAAATTTAGAAAATACAACATGGCTGGCCAAAATGGCAGAGACAAGGATAATAGTTTAAATTTAGGTAGTGGAAAGTTCTAGCAAACAAGATGGCGTCAGAGGGAGGTGCTTAAAAACATCTAGAATCCAAGATGCTGCCAGAGGGAGGAGCTTTCCTACCCAAGAATAGGTATGACATCATGCGGAGGAGCTGGAAAAAGCTAGCAGCTGATTGGCTGAGAGGTGCTGACCTTGAGAGAGCAACCAGTATATAAGGCTGACAGCAAGCAGGCTGAGTCTGTAGTGGATTAGGTGTAGCATGCTTTCAACTAACAGGTTGAAAAGAAGTGGGTTTGAGGCTTTGCTTAAGAATGGAAGCTGTCTGAAAAGAAGAACTGAACATCCTGAAAAGCAGCTACTTGACAAAACAGCAGCAGAATTCTAAGGTTGCCGTGGCAATGAACAACTGCCTGCTAGCAGCTACCTTGCCAGCAGCAACAGAAGAGCAGCAACCACCACTGCATCTGTGGCCTGACAGAGCAACAGCACAGCTGTGGAGCCCATAGTTCAGGAAATCAGACAGAGCAGAAGGACCAATTAGATGAGTCAGAGGGAAACTTTTGAATAAGAAGTGTAAGTCTGATCTTCTTTATATCTATAATTTAAGAGTGTATGGCTGTGTTTGTAAATAAAGCTGGATGCCTGCGTCTTGAGTGAGAGCTCCCCTATCCATCTTGTAGCCAATTGGCCAGCATTTACAGAATGTTTAATGTTAAGAATCAAGGTTGATGTTAAGTAAATGTTTTATTTTTATTTTGTGAATACTGTAATGGTTTTTCTTATGGGTATATAGAGGTTGCGTATACCACATTGTATTAAATAAGGAGTTAAATTGTATCACTAAAAGCCCTTGTGTATATGGGAATATCTATGTGCATGTTACATTGAAGCTACTGTATTCTTTGTGTGGGGTGTCAAATATTGTAAGCAGTCTGTGTCTTTATTTCCCTGTGCTGCTTTAATTATAAGATGTTTTAAATGTAATTTTATTGCATTTTTACTATGTTCTATATAATCTGTCTTGCTTCATTAAATACATTGTAACCACTTATTTCCTATAAATAAATAAATAAATAAATAAATAATTCTTTTGTTTTTGAAGAATTACTGCTTGTGTGTTCATCCTTGAGCGGAAGGCTGTATATGTGTCCTTTCAGGGGTTAGCAAGACTAGCTTGCTCTGAGGCGCCCTCTACAGGTTGGACACAAGCCCCTTGGTAACACCCTGGCATTTCCTTTAGGGCGGGCCACAGTCTTGCTACCCTTTGGTTAAATTAAGAGTGCCATTGTAGGCTAATATCATTGGCATCTAAAATTTTAGGGTAACAGCATGGGCAGATTGCTATGCCTGCACAGAGCTCCAATGAAGTTAATGAGACTCTGTGTGGATGCAGTTGGTCACACACACACACACACACACACAATGTAGAATTGAAGCTTTAATTAGTTCTTTCAGTCCTACTCTTGTCTTTTTTTTCATACTATTTTAGAATTTCTGTACTAGTTTAGAGTTTTTAAATATCAAAGGTTTGAATTAATAAGTCTTTTTTTCACAAGGCAGCATGCTGACTCTATGGTTATGCTCTGTTCTACCATGTAAGGGTTTGATTTCTGACTCAAGTTCCTTACCCTCCAGGCCAGCAAGAGGTAGAAGTACTTTGCATCCCTCTGTAAGGATGAAACTAGCTGGTTTAAGAGCAAGGATTATGAGTTCCAAAAGTAAAATGGTCACCTTTTCAAACTAAATTTTAGCCCCATCATTGCACGTCCCAACAACTCACAACTTTATCCTAAGCTGTACGGACTTCATTCTCTTTCTGATGGTGTGCTGGTTGTTTTCTCTCCTTGGTCTCTAGTTCTCATCTGGTAGCTCTCTGGCTCCTCATGTCAGTTCCAACTTCTCACATCATTTGTCTGTTTTCATTACTCCTCTGTCTGCAATCTCTCTCCTTCATTCTCATACCATCACTCTTGGATTCCTCTAAGCAAGTAGGATATCAATCAAAAGACACGGAGGCACAGCAGAAGCAGACTAGCAATGTGAGGGAAGTGTGGTAGCACTCCTGTAATGTTGGGATAATTGGAAGGTGGTGTCTAGTGGAGGAAGTTTATAATTTGGGGAAATGGGATGGAGACTGGGAGACCAGGTAACCCATTTAAAAACCAGGGAGGTGACAACCTTATTCAAAGGCAGTCTCATTCAGCTTTCTGCACTTATATGAAAGAATGTTCTTTAAGCACAAATGAAGAATTTAGACCTGGTGGGTTGAGGTAATTTATGGGACCAATTTCTGTTCTTGAAAGAGACAAGCTTTCATGCTGCACAGAGCTCTTCTGCAGGTCTGGGAAAGGATTAAGGCCATGTCTACATTAGCACTTATGTTGGCAAAACTTTTGCTGCTCAGGGGTCTGACATAAATTTTGCCAGCATAAATATTCATGTGCATAGTGCTACGTGGGCAGGAGACGCTCTCCTGCTGATATAGCCACTGCCACTCATTGAGCTGGTTTGATTATGTCGATGGAGAGCTCTCTCCCATCAGCCTAATGCGGCTACATGAGCACTCTTATAGTGGTATGGCTGTGCAGCTGTAAGCTTGTAAGTGTAGGCAGAGCATCACAGCTAAACATAAGATAGAACTAACATACCATTCAAGGTGAAATGGCCTGTTAACACCCATGTAGTCACAGATCTGTTGGGACTGGACTACAGGGGATGGATCACTCGATAATTGCCCTGTTCTGTTAATTCCCATTGAAGCATCTGGCATTGGCCACTGTTGGAAGACTGGATACTGGGCTAGATGGACCATTGGTCTGACCCAGTATGGCCGTTCTTATATTCTTTTGACAAAAAGGGGGTTAGTGGGTTACAGAGTGTTGTAATAAGCCATAAATCCAGTGTCTTTGCTAGATACTAAAAATCATGGCTTAATAAAGTTATTAATTTAAACTCTCAGGCTCGTCCTTTGAAAGTGTAGATTTCCTGTGAGGATGAGGACTGAGAGGTCAGATATAGAGTGATTGCACTGTTAAAAGTGTTCACCTACAGGTGACATGGTGCTTTGTCTTTTATTATTTTCCTGTGTGAGTTCATTTGAGAGTGTACTGATTATCTGGTTTCCCACATAATTGTTATTGGGACATTTAGTGCACTGGATGAGGTACACCACCATAGTTATGATAGGCACATGTAGGACCTGTGGATCTTGAAAGGTGTGTTGTGGGAGATGTTGATCATAGTAGCAGTGGAAAAATAGTTGCAGGTTTTGCATCTGTTGTTCTGACAGGGTCTGGTGTTGCTTTGAGTTGTTGTCTCCTGGTCCGTTGGGGGCTTGCTTCTGATAATGAGCTTGGAGAGGTTGGGGGGTTGTTAACAGGGGTATTAAAGGGCCACTTTGCCTTAAATGGTGCACTTAAAATATGCACTATTTATCCTAAACTATCTGTTCAATCTTGTATTTAGCTGTGACACTCTTCGTACCTTTCCCAGACCTGCAGCAGAGCTCTGTGTAGTTCAAAAGTTTGTCCCTCTGATCAACAGAAGATACTATGATCATGAGGTGGTTTTCCCAAGGTGAGGCTCATCCATTGCAGTCCAGGTGTGCTGACCCCTGAGATTCCCCCAATTGCAGGAAACTCAACTGCATAACTTGTAGTAGTGGGAGACTGCATTTGTGCTTTCCCCTGAGAAAATAATAAACAGAATTTGGTTCAATAAGATATATAGTAACTCCTCACTTAAAGTCATCCTGGTTAACGTTGTTTGGTTGTTACGTTGCTGATCAATTGTGCAATGCTCCCTTATAACGTTGTTTGGCAGCCGCCTGCTTTGTCCACTGCTTGCAGGAAAAGCAGCCTGTTGGAGCTAGCTGGTGGGCGCTTGGATCCAGGGTGGACTGCCAGCCCCCGTATCAGCTCTCCATTCCCCTAAGTTCCCTGTGCGGCAGCCGCCCAGCAGGCTATCAATTGCTGGCAGTTCAGCTGTCCCACCCCCCACTGCCATGTGCTGCTCCTGCCCTCTGCCTTGGAGCTGCTCTCCAGAGCCTCCTGCTTGCTGTGCTGGGGTGACACACAGACACACACACACAGACACACACACACTCTCACTCTCATATATATATATTATATATAGTCTTTTGTCTGGTGAAAAAAATGTCCCTGGAATCTAACCCCCCTCCATTTACATTAATTCTTATGGGGAAATTGGATTCGCTTAACATTGTTTTGCTTAAAGTCTCATTTTTCAGGAACATAACTACAACGTTAAGGGAAGAATTACTGTATTACTTCACCCACCTTGTCTGTCTAATATCCTGGGACCAACATAGCTACAACAACAGTGCATATAGAATATAGGTTTCTAATTGATTGCACTCATGAATCATGTAATTAGATGTGTAAATGCTGTCATGTTCCTCTGCATTTGACTTCAGGCACAAAATTTATTAGATTCTTGATTAAGGCCTCTTTTAAGATGTCCCCCTCATAGACAAAGATGTCTATGACACCATAATAATGATTACTAGCATGCTGAACTTTAATACTGCTGTTAAACCTATGGTTCTTTATTCTGAAGGCCAAACAAACGCTGTTAATGGCATTTGATTTCTTACAGAAATTGAATTTGTGCCACTGCACTGAAATTTATAAAAAAATGGTTGGTTCATAGTGAACTGGATTGCTCGGGACATTAATAATGGGCTGTTAAGCCAGTCAACCCTCAGTCACTGTTTGGAATCTGGCCTAGTTCAATAGTGACAAAAATGTATTTGATGGCTGTTTGGTAGTATATTCTTTTTAGTTGAAACCAGTTTGGTAGTTGCAGTTCAGTTTCTAGTAAACTAGTGTCTACTTAACAACCACTGAACTTGGCCCTCGCTGATTACTTTGGTGTAGTCTCAGTAGAGAGGCAAAAGACTGAACGGACACAGAGACTGACTTAAAGATGATCCTTCCAAATCAGGATTAAAGGACACTGATGAGATAATGTGGGGAATTGGACATTGTTATAGCCAGCTGTACCATAATTGTAAGGATTAAGTTCAATCTCCAGTGCTATCAAACTAGCATATTTTACAAACAGTAAACCCTCTTTAAAGGGACACCGTCCACTTAGTTATAGTTCAGTTTTAAACTTTTGTAAAAATAGTGAAACTTAAGACCAATAGAAATGTTTTCAGAATTCTTTTTTAAAGAATTATTGAAAGCACCTGTTACAAGAACCCTCTCAAAATTTCCCTTCATTGTTTGCAAATCAAAACATTACAGTTCTAAGAATCTGAAAGTGAAAATAAATATAAAGAAAAGTGAAACTAAATTCAAAGTTTCATTGAATGATAATGCCAAAAGAAAATAGAGGACATAAATGGTGACAAGGAAACTGGATATTTAACATTCCTTCTCTTTTAATAATCTAAAGTATCAGGCAACGATAGGCAGAAGTGTGTTTGATTAGCAAATATGGGATCTAATTCCTACGTCTGCAACAGCTGCTTTTAGATGTTCTAGGACTGTGAAGCATCTGGAAACCCAGTAGTAGAATCTCTGAGTGGCACAGAACGAAAGAAATACCCTCTCCCGGCTGGGTGTAGGAAACATTGCCAAGGACAAGGGAGTTTGAGTTCCAGCCTGGTGATCCCCTTGTTGCCAGGACGGCTCCTGGGACCAGGGCTGGCTCCAGCATTTCTGCCGCCCCAAGCAAAAAAAAAAAAAACCGTGATCGGCGGCAGCAGTTCAGCGGCAGGTCCTTCGCTCCTAGAGGGAGTGAGGGACCTGCCACTCCCGAATTGCCGCAGGTGCCGCCCCAAGCACCTGCTTGTTAAGCTGGTGCCTGGAGCTGGCCCTGCCTGGGACTGTGGGGACATTTTACACTGAGTGCCAGATAGGCCCCTAGATAGCTCTAGGATCAAAGGAGCTCAAATTTAGTGCATAATCACCCTTGCTTCTCCTTTAGCAAGTTCAGCTTGGCTAGAAGAGTGATTCAAGGACAAGATTTTCAAATTGACAGTATCTCTTTAAACATTTGAACTAGTTACTATAAACAATGGTAATTGAAAACAAACAAACAAAAACCCTCACATCCTAGGAGATGAAATCCTATTGTGGCTATTGGGTTGCTCATTAATCATTTTTTTAATGTAAGCTTTGCATTTTCAGTCACTGAACATTTTATTTAATTTCAAACATATTTTAATGGACAGAACTCTGAAGAGTTTATTCTGGGACTGACAACAACCTTAATGGATGAAGGAGTAGGCCATGCTTTGTACAACTGCATTTTGCTTTGGAGGCTTAAATCTACAGAGAGATTTTGCATGTGACATGTAAGATATGCACAAAGAGGAGCAATTTACAGCAGAGAACAAGGTTCAGAAATTGCAGGAGAGAATGAGCACATGCTCATCCATAAATAATTTGCAGTTTCATTTTTAAATAGGTAAAATGTGGTTCATAGATGAAAAAGGACATGATCTATATGAATGAAAGCCATGGATTCTGAAAATAAGCAGACGTAGGAAGATTCTAAACATCCATCTGATAAATGCTATTGTGCTACTACCTCTGCGGCTTTGATTAAAATAACCAGCAATATTTTTGCAAGGACCTCCTGCTGCAGGTACTAATGGAGATTTTGCCCGGTTAAAGGGAATACTATTATTCAATTTAGACCCTAAATTTAACCTATTTTAAAACTGACAATCTGATTGGGCATACATTTAAAACTCATCACTGCTTTGTTTTTAAAAAGCTACCATTTAGATGTGGCAAACCAGAAAAAAAAAGTAATTGCAAACAATGGATCTTGTAATTCAAACATTTATTTAGAACTATAGAAACATGTTTTGGTGTGCCTCTTTAAGGCCAGATACAGGAATAGGCATAATTTTGTGTCAGCTTCCTGTTGTTCACACTTGCTTTTTTGATAGTTTATTTTATGAAGTTCACATAATGCTGAAAGTTTCAAGCCACCAGTGAAAAAAATATGACCTACTGAATGGCAAAAACTCCAAGCTTTTCCTTCTGAACAAAGTGATATATTAAGAGTTTTGTTTTCAAGTAGCTTAATGCTTCATATTGAATCAAGATTTTTAAATTGCATTAGCAAGAATTTTTTGAGACAGAAAAGAGCAAATAGGAATTATTTTGTCGAAAGGCAGGTTATATCTTAATTATTGCTTTCTTCTACATGTTGCAAGTGTGAATTCATCTGCATCTTCAGCACAATGCAATTTACTTGGTGCTTTGAGATCCAGTATGTATTATCAGCTGTTATATAAGAACATAAAACATGACATCCATGGCAATTCTCTGGAGTATTTTTTGTCTTCTTGTATCAAGTTTAATTTGTAATCTGTTTTTTCTGGCAAGTCAAATGTCAATAATTTGATGTTTGTTTGTGAAATTTACTGTTTTAACTCCTGCAAGCTGCAAAACTGTGCTAATGGGAGCATGATCCAACCTATTTTTATCAAGGTGCACAAAGTGGACTTTGCTACCTGGAACAGAATGAGAATAAAAATGGAAATAGTTGAATAAAATACTGCTTTATTATAACAGCTAATTGGATTAAGGAAGCATCCTGATTTTCCAGCAATTTGTCTAAAACTGTGCACTAAATACATGAATTTACATAACATTCTGTTTTTTAATCACAGCATGTATATTTTTATCATTTAAAAAAAATATTACAGCAACAAGGCATGACAAAGTAAGTGGTCGAATTAGACCTGTACTTTTCTGCTTCCTAGTACCTCAAGAGAATGATTTTATCATGATAACCACCATTCATGTTTTGTTGCTTTCTTAAAAACACATCAAATAAAATACCTAGAATCCAATGTAATGGCAGCGTATAGACTGATGCCAAGATGTCAACAAGCAAAACTTAGGCCCAATCCTTTTCCTACTGAAGTCAAAGGCAAAACTCTCACTGGCTTCAACAGGAATAGTTCAGGTCTTTGTAGGAGGGGGAACTATGCAATGACACTTACAGACTTTGTTTACATAGCAGAACCATAAACAAGCACAGACTATATTTCTCTTTGGGAATCCTCAGGGCTCTACCAGGGATGAAGAGGACTCTCGGAAGTGTAATAAGAAACAGCTGGGGGAGGGGAAGATTATTTTAAAATAAAACAAATATGCTTACCTGGGCCTAAAATCAAAGTCCCCCCCTGCTGAGCTGGATCTCCCTGAAAATCAAAAGCAGGGCCAGTCATTGCTCTCCACATACTTCTGATACTTCCTGACAGCAAGTTTGATTTCACATGTGGGCTCTGCACTAAAACATTAGAGGATATCTTACAACAAAATACATTTTATCTAAAATAGATTAAAATATTACTAGATAATTTCATCAGTGTCATAACAGAAATCTAGATAACAACAAAATAGTATTACGTAGACATATACATTACTTTACAGCTGTTAAAACAGACACACACAAAAAGAGCAGAAGATGGCCATACTGGGTCAGACCAGTGGTCCATCTAGCCCAGAATACTGTCTTCTGGTAGTGGCTAATGCCAGATGCTTCAAAGGGAATGAAAAGAACAGGGCAATTATCAAGCGATCCATCCTCTATCATCCAGTCCCAGCGTCTGGCAGTCAGAGACTAGTCTACTGTATAAAGGAAGTCAACTCTATTATAATAAGGTCCTGATTCGGATCTCATTTGCACCTATGTAAATCAGATGTAACCACCAAAGTCAATGATAAAATAGGGTACAAAAATAGGGTGAGACCAAAATCAGGCAATTAGAGTCTGTATTTCCCCATTATTGGATATATACTAAGAATAGACATATCAATGGATTTAACAGGCTCGTTTCTCTTCTGTCTTAAAACTAATAATCTATAGCAGGGATTGGCAACCTTTGGCATGCGGCCCGTCAGGGAAATCCGCTGGCGGGCCGGGCCAGTTTGTTTACCTGCAGTGTCCGCAGGTTCAGCCGATCGCAGCTCCCACTGGCCACGGTTGGCCGTTCCAAGCCAATAGGGACTGCGGGAAGCGGCGGCCAGCACATCCCTACGCCCATGCCACTTCTCGCAGCCCCCATTGGCCTGGAATGGCTAACCGCGGCCAGAGGGAGCTGCGATCAGCCGAAACTGTGGACGCTGCAGTAAACAAACCGTTCCGGCCTGCCAGGGGATTTCCTTGACCAGCCATGTGCCAAAGGTTGCCGATTCCTGATCTATAGACTGCTCTATTGATGTTGGACCTCATGTTTCCTGCAGGCTTCCAGCCTTCTCTGCTTTTATGTGAACTCCTGGCATTTTAAACGTAATGCACTAGATTAATCAGATCTTAAACAGAACTCAATGAGAGCAGGATCAAGCCCATAGTGAGCCTCTCCCAATGACCAGAAAGCTCCTTTAGAATAATGAAGTAAAACGGTCAGCATTGTTGTTGTAGAGTAGCACACTAGCATGTACATTAATCTATTATTGTTATGCCAACAGAGCATTTTAAATGAAGTTTTCTGTGAAAGAAATCAAGGGAAGAACATGGTTCCTACCTGATGTTGTGGCTGCTTCACCTTTTTTCATGCCAAGTATTTTATAAATCTCCCTCTCTGGATCGACATAGATTTCATGGGGATACCCTGTCAAACTACAAAACGGCTACAAGATACGTACGAACATAAAATAATTATATTAAATTTGAATGTTTAGTAAAAAAAATATGAAAAATACTGATTTTGAAACCCTCTGAATTCTTCATATTAAGCCCAACCAACACTAAGGGCCAAATCGTGAAGTTCTGACTCAAACAAAACTTCCACTGAAATCAGTGGGAGTTTCGCCTGAACAAAATTTGCAGGATTTGAACGTAAGATTTCCCCCACTATACTACAATTAGAATTGCTTCATGAAAAGTAATAAGGGCCTGTTTTTAAGATGAGCAACCACAGCTCCACTTGAAGTCAATTAAAATCACTGACTCGGAAATCCAACCCCTAATTAACTAGATGAACTTGTTACAAGCATAATACAATATATCATTTACCTCACTGAGTATTTTATTTACCTTAATGTGATGGTGAGATGTCTGTCCAATAACTATCAGTCTCACTTTTGCATCCTAGAAAAAAATACAGAATATAGATATAAAAACTATTAATAAGGAGTGATTTTTTATGCATATCAGCAAAACAATAATAGAAATATCTGTATTTTAGCTTAATGATCTGGGAGCACAGGACACAAAAGGTATTAGTTATTCTACATGTAAAATTTGACTATTTCTCAATATCAAAAACCTATATTAATTAACAGGGCTACATTTCCATTAATTTTTTAAAAAGTAATGTTGGTAGGCAGCTTTTTTTTAACCTACAGATGAATATCTGTTTTATTTTCTGTTCCATCTATAGGATTAAATTTTCATCTGGCTTCAAAACTGCTTACAATTTTTTACTTGCAAAACTTCACACTCACGTGTCTGCATCTGAAAAATTGTATTTGCACCTGTATTATTTGCATATTAGAGTGTCTAACTGATTTGCATGCACAAATACACATTTCTGTATGCAAAATACATTCACATTCACTGTTAGGTACATTTTTTGGAGGTGCAACATCAGGAATTGTGTCTAAAACCTTGGCCCATAATGTTAATTAATTTAGACTCCTTTCACTCAGCAATGCATTCAAACAAATCATTCATGGAACTAAGGGTTATTAATATCCTCTACCACTGTACTCCTTCCATAAACAATTTGAATAACTTAGCTGGTTGACAAAACAAGTCACCCCATAGATGATGATGTAATTATTCCTGAAAATACAGAAGAATATAATTCTGTTATTTTTATCTGAGCAGCTAGTTTAAAAAAACCTATTAAATATGATTAATTCAGCGCTTTAGCAAAAACCTGCTTATGTCCAAAGGGAAAGTGCACCCCCTCTCACTTTAAAAGTCCTCAAGGTCCTGCTCCATCTGGAGTTCGTTGTCCCTGAGGATCTCAGCCTTTCTCACCAGCCATATGCTGATGCTGGGAACAAAATGTGGCATAGCTTCAATCAGCAGAATAGAAAGAGGCAGACTGAGCTTTTTAATTTAGCAGGCAAATCGCCATCGTATGCCCTACTCACCAACAGGAACTGGGTACTTAGTTCTTTAGGAAAGCAGAAAAACCCCAAACAACAAGATGTAATGTTGTATGGTACAACAACAAATTCCTTCTAAATTCTCACGGGCAGGTATAACAGAGCAATTGTTGCAGCAATGTGTGAAGACGCTACTCGCTTCCCCATGGGCTTCCGGTCATCAAACATCATGTAAGGAATTACTGATGCGGGTGAACCCTACTACTCCTGTCTCTCCAACACACGCGAACACAGACAGGTTAGGTTTTTACCCATGAAAGCTTATGCCCAAATAAATCTGTTAGTCTTTAAGGTGCCACCAGACTCCTTGTTGTTTTTAGCAACAGAGGGTCCTGTGGCACCTTTAAGACTAACAGAAGTACTGGGAGCATAAGCTTTCATGGGTAAGAACCTCACTTCTTCAGATGCAAGTCAGATTCAGACTAACACGGCTACCCCTCTGATACTTCTTGTTTTTGTAGATACAGACTAACAGGGCTACCCCCTGATACTTGACAGACAGGTTAAGGGCATCTGACTTACTTGTAACAAATTCTTGGGAATTTTTGCCAGATCTTCTACATATTCTTTGCAGGTGTAACATAAGAAATGCTGAAAAGGTAACATAGCCAGGAGGAGATATCAGAAACCAACACAATCGCGTGGCAATGTAGCAACAAGGGACTTCAGACAGAACCCAGAGACCTCGGTTGGGAGGGTGAGTGCTTAGAAACTGGAGGTAGAAAGGAGTAGCGCTTATTAAAGAGACCCAGCTGCCAAATTCGGATGGGGATCCAAGTTTTATCAAAGTTTGAGGGCGCTGGGATCTTGTTGTGGGCTCTCGCTAATAGGCATTGGGTCACTAGGACAATCAGAGAGGGCCAGTGCTTCTCAGCTGGGGAATCGGTCTTATTTCAACAAGCACTTGAAATCAAAGTTCTCTCCCCCTCCCTCACCGTGGAGTGAAAAGCGCGTGTCTCTTTCACAAACAGCTCGGGGGGACCCGTGCAAACAGGGTGCTTGTTGCGCAATGTGTTCGCTTGTCTCGCCACCCGTCCCAGCCCATTTTAAGGACCCTTTCGCGTGAGGGTGCAAGTTATTAAACAGCGGTGTCCCGCTACGCAAGAGCCGCTTGCACAAGCGGGTGGGACGACACGAAAAGTGGATCCCCCCTCACCCGCACGAACACCACGATGGCTCTGTGCTCCCGGAACAGGGCCCCGAACAGGATCCTCTGCCCGTCTCGGTCCACCAGCAAGCGCCGGGCGGCGTCTCGCAGCTCCCCCGGCTCCTGGTCGCTGAGCCGCGCGCGATCCCGGCTACCGATTTGCCGTGTGATCGGGGCTGCTGGGAGATTCGCCATGGCGGGGTTTGCTCTCTGCTTCTGGCTGGGCCGGGCCAGGCCTAGCGGCCGGGCCCCGGAAAGAAGCAGCGGAAGGGCAGGCAGCGGTAGAGGAGGCTGTGAGATGAAGTGCCAGCGCTGGTGGGAGGGCATCATCTCGCTTTCCTTTCTGGAGCAGATCCACTTCCAAGCGCAGCAGGGTCAGCTGCTAAACACTCCACACCAGCAGCCGCTTCACTTCATTTGAGGAGGAGCTGAAGAGGCTGGTGCCTAAAAAGATGCTTCCCAGAAATCTCTGCACCTAGAAGAGATTAGAAATGTTTTGTTACCCTTACAATGAAAAAACACGACAGGCTTCTCCAGCAGCATCCGCCAAATGCTGCACTCCTACTATTATTTTAAACTGCAGGGCTTGGGATCTTTACTACAGGATACTACTACAGAACTTTTAAAAGGGAAGTGAGCAAACTTGAGAACTTCCGTTTTTTTATCATAGAATATAAGGGTTGGAAGACACCTCAGGAGGTCATCTAGTTTTATAGTACATATAGACCTGTAAAAAAATCCAGTCAGCTACCTTCAAAATCATCTCACTCTTTTTACTGAGTAGATATATTTATCCATGATGAGCTGGCTCAGTTTGACTCTCCATTTGGAATATCAATCCAATTCTGTTAAAACTTTACCAAAAAGACTTTAGAGCCCACATAAGGTACATTAGAGTCTCCTGTTGTTTTGGCATTTATTATACATAATTTGCCAAAAGGTGCATTTTTAGAAGTTATGTTACAATCCAAAATACTCTCTGAATTATTTTTATTTATATGGCCTGTGATCTCAAACCTATTGAGGATTTCTGAATCTTTTGAAAAATTATGTTCTATTATGATTGGGAAAGGCCTTGTGTCATATGCCCCCAAAACAGTTCTCAGAACTATGTCTGAGTTTTTCTGTTCACTTACCAGTTTGTATATATTAGATCCTAAATGCTTAGATTTAACAAAATAATACTAATAGAGAGCAGTTTTCAAAGCACTTTACAAAGGAAGGTAATTGTACAGCACTTAGCATGAGGCCCTGACCCTTGATCGAGGCTCCTAGATGCTATTGTAATATAAATAATAATCTCAGGTTTTACAGAGAGGGAAACAAGTAGAGAAAGTTTAATGCTGATGTTTTCACAAAATAGCAGCCACCTTTGAAAATGTAGCTTCAGGCCCTGATCCAGAAAACCATCCAACTATGTGCTTAACTTTAAACATTGGTTTAAGTGCCATTGGCTTCAGTGGCAAAACTGAAAACAGAATCCAGGTCTATTGACTTCAGGTCAGTTCCCGGTCTACTGGAACAATGGTTACCTAAGAGCACTGGTTCACTAAATGCAATAGAGCATTCCAATATAGATTTGATTAGAGTCATTCTCCTTCCCTCTACCACCCTCCCCCATTTCCCCCCTTTCTTTTCACCTTCCACCTTCTACATGCAGAAATGTTAATAATATTAAAAGGTACAACTTGCCATATTGATGTACACTATGTTGTCCTAAATTTGAAACACATTTTAAAATCTAAGCAGAATGGATAATTAGCACATTGACATCTGTGATTCTGTTTTTATCCCAAAATATAATTCAAAAGATATGCCAATCCCACACATTTCCATACAAATGATACAAGTTTTTACACATATTAATTAAAGGAAAAGAATCATAGAATATCAGGGTTAGAAGGGACCTCAAGAGGTCATCTAGTCCAACCCCCTGCTCAAAGCAGGACCAATTCCCAACTAAATCATCCCAGCCAGGGCTTTGTCAAGCCGGGCCTTAAAAGAGATCACTGATGTCCAATGGGGGACACTTTTTCACAGAGTGACTTATGAAAAATACTGAATTAACAGTTGAATTGTGTTGCACCTTGGATAGGAGATTCAGATTCCTGAATTCATGAGAAAAGTGAATAACTAACATCACACAGATGTAGAACAACATACCTATTCTAGAGTGGCTAATGAAACAATGTAAATATGTAACCTGAATATTTCATTTGTATCAGCTGAATAGTGTGTTAAGAGAGATCACCACTCCCTATAATAGTAACATAGTGCATCCACTTAATGTAGTATATGCTTGTTTGCAAGGCAACATTATTTCCACTTTAGTCCAATATATGTTATCTGGGACTTCACCTAGACGATGTCTATACTACAAAATTATGTTGACCTAAGTTACGCCAGCATACAACCGCTGCAGTTATTATATCATTTGTGCATGTCCACACTGCTTCTTGTGTCAGCGGTGCGTGAGCTCACCAGAAGTGCTTGTATTGATGCAGAATGCAGTGCACCCTGGGTAGCTATCCCACTGTGCAACTCACTGCCATTCAGCACAGGGTGCTTTGTGAAGTTTTTGCAATGCCTCATACGGTGAAAACAAGTCCTGCAGGGGTGGCTGGGAACATCAGTTCAACTTTCCATAATGCAGTGTTCTCCATCCCATAACTTCATCCACATCTCATAATATTTCATGCCTCTTTTCAAAATCCCCATAAGCCCATGCCTGCCTCCCTGCTGCTCACCATCTGTGACAGAAGCATGGATCATGCACCGCTCTGCATTCCTGTGATGAGTATTGTGATCATGAGGTGCCTGATCCTGCAGTATTTGCAGAGCAGCAAAAAGAGCCACGAGAAACATGATGATTTATTGGGGGCTAGAGTGCTGTGGGACACAGAAAGAAACAATTCAAGGTTGTTGGTGGCATTCATGGAGCTGCTGCAGATGGTGGAGTGCCATTCTGGGCCTGAGAAATGAGCACTGACTTGTAGGATTTCATTGTCATGAAGCTTTGGATGATGAGCAGTGGCTGCAGAACTTTTGGATGTGCAAGGCCACATTCCTGGATCGGTGTGCCGACCTCACCCCAATCCAGTCCCAACACAGGGACGCCAAAATGAGATCCACACTGACAGCTGAGAAGCGAGTGGTGGAAACTTGCAATGCCAGATTGCTACCGATCAGCTGAGAATCAATTTGAAGTTGGGAAATCCACCATGGGTGCTGTTGTGATGCACGTTTGCAGGGCCATTTATTGCCTCCTGCTATGCAACACAGTGACTCTGGGCAATGTGCAGGACATAGTGGATAGTTTTGCAGCAATGGGCTTCCCGAACTGCGGAGGGGCGATAGATGGCATACATATTCCTATTGTAGCACCAGACTACCTTGCCACAGAGTACATCAACAGAAAGGGCTACTTTTCTATGGTAATGCAAGCACTGGTGTATCAACAGGGATGCTTTACCAACAGCAATATGGGCTGGTCAGGAAGGGTTCATCTTTAGGAACACAAGACTGTTCAGAAAGCTGCAAGCAGGGACTTTCTTTCCGGACTGGTGGATCACCATTGGGAATGATGAAATGCCTGCCCCTTGCTCCTATGGCTGATGAAGCCATACACCGGCTACCTTGACAGCACCAAGGAGCACTTTAACTACAGGCTTAGCAGGTGCAGATGACAATTGTATGTACCTTTGGTCAATTGAAGGCTTGCTGGTATTGTCTACATACGAGACCGGATGTCAATGAAAAAAATATTCCAATGGTTATAGCTGCCTGCTGTGTCCTGCATAATATCTATGAAGTAAAGGGGGAAACATTTCTACTGGGATGGAGGGTGGAGGTGGAGTGGCTCTCTGCTGAATTTGAACAGCTAGATACTATGGCTATTAGAAGAGCTCAGCTCGGAGCTTAGAGAAGCTTTGAAAGAACATTTTAATAGTGAGCCAGAGTAATGTATGTTACTGTAGTATGCTCTGTGAGGCTGTATGGAATCTGGGAGACACTTTGATATTGGTGATACTGATATTATAAAATTGCAAGGAATCTGACCAGGTATGCCATGTGAGGTAGCTGCAAAAAATATAATTTGCCAAGTATGATAATCTTGCTTATATGTTTGTATCACCTTTGTATTATGAGATATAGATATGTAGGGTATATCTGCAAAAAGAACAGGAGTACCATAAGCTTTCATGGGCTGCATCCGAAGAAGTGGGCAGTAGCCCACGAAAGCTTATGCTCTAATAAATTTGTTAGTCTCTAAGGTGCCACAAGTACTCCTGTTCTTTTTGCGGATACAGACTAACACGGCTGCTACTCTGAAACCTAGGGTATATCTGTATTTCCAAACTTGTGTTGTGTTTCTGGGTGACGCCCCCAGACAGATTGGCATCAGCAATACCTAGCCTGTTTGATGGCCCCTCCGGGTCATCAGCTGTATAATGAACCCATTGAAAGGAACCAGGGAAGACATCTTATGAGTCAGCAAGGCATGTGATATGCCTGTGGACAGAGAACTCTAAGGCTTCCATGCCATGTGCTGTCAGCTTGTGTTTGGGACAAAGGAAGTATAAGCCACATGGCAAAAGAATATAAAAGGCAACTATATCATCTCCATTTTGTCTTCAATCCTGCTTCTTACCTCTGGAGGAACTTTTCTACAAACTGAAGCTCTGAACAAATGACGGAATGACCCATCCAAGCTGTGGGTGTATTCCAGAGGGACTTTCAAGCCAGAAAACTCACCAGTACTGCAAAGAATCTGATATATGGACTTTGAAGTCTCTGTATGTATCTGAATGCTTTATCATTTAACAACTCTCTTCCTGTTCTTTCTTTTTTCTTCATAATAAACCTTTAGTTTTATACACTAAAGGATTGGCTGGCAGCGTGGTATTTTGGGTAAGATCCAAACCTATATTGACCTGGTAATGTGGTTGATCTTTGGGGTTCAGAAGAACATTTTGTATATGTGAGTGGAGTTTTTTAAATAACTCTCATTGAACTGAACCCTAGGTGCTGATTTGGAGCCAGAGAACTGGAATGCAATAAAAGGGGCTCTGTGATTTCTTTTCTTTTTTTCTTTTTTTGCTTCTTGATAACCAGTGTGGGGGATCAGAAGCACAGTCTGTGACTGGTTGGTGAGTGTACTTCAATGTTAACCACCAGTATTTGGGAGAATCTGCTCTCCTTTTTGCAGCCTGCCCTGCTCTTGGCATTTTCAGTGAGGGCTGCCGCAGGCACCCTGGGTCACATGCTCTACCTGGCCTTTCTCTTTTGTGGTTCAGAATGAATCTTGTAATGATTGCTGTGTATGTAGGAACATAACATTGTCAATGCACCTATTAATATTGTTTTATGGGTTCTGTGACACAGTGCAGCAACAGGAAATTGATCGCTATGAGACCAGATCATTACCAGTCAGCATATGTTGGGAACTAATAAGGATGAATTATGTTCCAAAATATAGAATTTTATTATGTAATATGAACCAGGATCATAAAAAAACCCATGTAGAACTTAATAAAACTTAATAAATTAAGGGAACAGAACTTATGAAGGGGAAAGAACAGTCATTTCCATTTCAGGAAAACATACACCAACTGTGTCTTTCACAGG